GGCGGCAGTGATCTTGTGTGGGGCCGCGCGGTACCGACAGTAAAGCGTGGTGGCGGCAGTGATCTTGTGTGGGGCCGCGCGGTACCGACAGTAAAGCGTGGGGGCGGCAGTGATCTTGTGTGGGGCCGCGTGGTACCGACAGTAAAGCGTGGGGGCGGCAGTGATCTTGTGTGGGGTTGTATGAGCGCTGCAGGTGTCAGGGAGCTGCATTTCATAGATGGTATCATGCATTCACAGATGCACTGTGACATACTGAAAAAGAAAATGCGACCATCAGTCCATGCCCTTGGTCACAGAGCACTCTTTCAACACGACAATTACTGAAAACATACATCTTAGGTCACTGATTCATTTCAGTTCTGAAAAGAGAAGTTGCGTGTCATTCTTCATCCAGCACACATGATCTGAAAGAGCTCATCCTTCAAGAATGTGGACATATTGACCTGGCTGTATGTCATAAACTAGTTCATTCAATGTCTAGAAGAGTTGCTGCTGTTCTTATAAGTCAAGGAGGCCATACAAAATATTGGATTTAGTAGAATTTGTCTTAGGGTGTAATCATTTTTGCATCACCTTATTTGAATAAAATGTATTATTTTTCATATCCCAAAGAAGTAAAGAAGGTGATCATACTCTTATGTTAATACAAATAAATGTTTAATGAAACTGGTTTGTAAAAATACAGCTAATTCTCCTCATAATCGTAAAAGTTCTAATTTCCAAGGGGCTGCTGTGCTCATTTCTGCTGAGTACTGTACACACAATGCAGGCATATGGGAGGAATCCCAGGGAGGATGTGCAAACTGCACACAAACGCAGTGCAGGCATATGGGAGGAAACCCAGGGGGGACGTGCAAACTGCACACACACGCAGTGCAGGCATATGGGAGGAAACCCAGGGGGGACGTGCAAACTGCACACACACGCAGTGCAGGCATATGGGAGGAAACCCAGGGAGGACGTGCAAACTGCACACACACGCAATGCAGGCAGTGGAACTCCTGACCCTTGTAGAGTATCCGGTTACTCACGGAGTCATCTGACTGATTCTCATTTTTGGGGGCATTTCCAGGGATACAGCAATGCTTCCCTTTACATCGATTACTTAAGGCAATGGTTCGATTTTTTTTATACCTCAGAAATTTCCACGTTATCATATTTTATTGGAAACTGTAAACAAAATCTAGTGCAGTCAAGTCAAAATAAAAAACACATTGCATACAGATACATGTAGAATGAGGAAGATTAACATGACTGATTTCTGCGGTGAAACAAGTATGTCAGTATAATGTTCTTTGAGAGGTTTTTTTTTTAAAGGAAAATTAAATGGTCAACGTTTTCAGGAGATGTTTGCTCTGAGCGGCGTCCTATGTCACCTGCCGTACTAAACACACGCTCTGAAGGTACGCTAACTTTCCAGCTACTTATAAATGTCCAAGTCAGAATGATCTACCTACTATCAAAACGCAAAACATATATTTATGTATAAAAATATTGAGTATTCTTTAATATTATTTTTATTACTATTATTAGCCCTGCGATGGGCTGGCCCCCTGTCCAGGGTTGTTCCCTGCCTCGTGCCCATTGCTTCTGGGATAGGCTCCGGATCCCCTGCGACCCAGTAGGATAAGCGGGTTGGATAATGGATGGATGGATTATTATTATTATTATTATTATTATTAATAATAATAATTTCCCTTTGGGATAAATAAAGTATTTTTGAATTGAACTGGGATTTTAGTTCCTTCACCTTTCTCTTTCTCAGCTTGCTTTTCGGAGGGAAGTTAATGTCATAGTTTTTATTAACGGTCCGAAAACTTCGGACTATTAATAAAATAGCGGCGGTGGGGCGGCATGGTGATGCAGTGGTTAGCACTGGTGCCTCCCACCTCTGGGGCCAGGGTTCGAGTCTCTGCCTGGGTTACATGTGTGTGGAGTTTGCATGTTCTCCCCGTGTCGTCGTGGGGTTTCCTCCGGGTACTCCGGTTTCCCCCCACAAGACATGCTGAGGCTTATTGGGGTTCCTAAATTGCCCATAGGTGTGAGTGTGTCCTGCGATGGGCTGGTCCCCCGTCTGGGGTTGTTCTTGTGCTCATTGCTTCCGGGATAGGCTTTGGCCCCCCGTGCATTTGGAAAATGTATGGATGGATGGAATAGCAATGGTAGACTGACAGATGAGGCAAATGCACTTCGAATTTGACATGGTGAAAAAAAACAGCCCTCCTCCCATTCCGCATGGAACTGGTAAATTTCTGGCTTCTTACTTGGTCCAGCTCCCCATTCATTTTTATGCCATTTCTTAGGTTTAGTAGAAATAAATTGGAGGCTTACTAGGCGACTCGGTAGCTTGTTAGAGATTTGCAGTAGCTGCCATACGATCAACCCACAGTACCCACAGTAGCTGTCGCCAGGGGAGTAGCTAGACAGTTTGGGCCCCCTGACAACATGTCACCTTGGGGCCCCCCGCCCCTTACATTATATAATTTCATCATTTTATGCATTCGAGGGCCCCTGTAAAGTGCAGGGCATAGCTGCCACAATCCAGGCGATCATCCTTCCCTTTCCAAATAGGGATAACAAGTCCCGTTTTCCAGTCAGTTGGGATGACACCTCTCTCCCAAATGGAAGCAGAGATTGCCTGCAATGCCAGGGCACAGCCTTGCTACCAGAAGGTCACGCCGGACACCACAGATCCCTGCAGCCTTCCCCACCCTCAGCTGGTGCAGTTTAATGTCATACCCAAGAGGATTTAAAATTAAAAGTTTGGTTTTAATTTGATCCCTTTCTATTACAGTATGTGTGTCATCCACTCTCAGAGCTGCAAAGGAAGTTGTTGCCATTGTGTTCAGATTTGGGTTCTGGCTGCATTTCATCCTTCTCTTCCTTGTTCACAGCACAGCAGTGAGTGGCCCCCACCACTCCGACCCCACAATAGCTTTTGCCGAGCATGGGTGTGGGTGGGGATCCCCTGGTAAATTTTGCTGGCCCACATGCCCAGTATGGCAGATGGCCAGTCTGGTGTTGTGGTGGGTGTCCAATGTCCAAAGAGCACAATGACTGTCATAAAAGTTGTAAAGTTATTGCAAAGGCAATGCAGTGTAGTTGTTTGTCTTTGGGAGGGACGATTTATTTTTTTACTGGGTGTGGTTGGGGATTTTGTCATCTTTCAGATGAGGACACACTTCTTCAAGGATCAGCAAGAAAGCACTTTTTAAGGCGTGTTCGTTGTGTAGAGGTTTCTCTCCTTGTGTGCCAGGCTATCCATCATCATCCTGTACTGAGGTCTGGGGACACTGGACTCTATCCCAGAGAGCAGCGAGCACAAGGCCAGGTACGACCATGGCAGGGCATAGAGGGCAGGGGTGGACAATTCAGGTTCAGAAAATACAATCCAGACCAAGATTTTGTTTCAACCAACCAGGTCAGTATGAACAGTCACAGTCACAGAGTACTCAACTAGTTGGTTGAAATAAAATCTTGGTCTGGATTGTATTTTCTGAACCTGAATTGTCCACCCCTGCCCTCTATGCCCTGCCGGTCTGCCCTGGTGTGGCCGGCCGCCGGCGGGGCCTGCGTGCTCGTCGCCATGGCCCCCTGGGGCTCCTGTGATGTGGCTGCCGGATGGCCCCCCTCCGGAGCGCTCCTCTGCCCTTTTCTCGGTGGGGGCTGCAATTGTCCCTGCGTTGGTCCTCCTGGGTTTCCCGTGCCCTGGGGGGTCTCTGGATATCTTGGGCCCGGGTCTCCCCCGTGTCGACTTCATGTCCTGGGTGGGCGGGGCTGTGGCTCCCCACACACACTACTAGACAATTACTTGGAGAACCCTTAGGAACACCAGCGCGCTGACACACAGGTGTGCACACAGGTGTGCACACAGGTGT